GTATGTCATTGAGATAATTAAGGGACCCTGAACCCGATTTCCAGCTCAGCATAAGAAACTCTAATGTTCAGCATATGGATACAATAGGCGCCCTGAGGATAGTTGGAGGAGGGCAGAGGCTAGGGGATGGAGGGAGACCCCACTGGTGCCCCCCAGTGTTTCCCCCCCCAATACCCGATCCTGCTGCAAGATAGGTTTGGAAGAGTTTGAAAGAGTAGATTGGATATGGGACGCTGGACCCGGTTTCCAGCACAATGGCGTCACTTCAATGATGTACTGTTTTATAAAGAGGTATTTAAGGGACGCTGGACGCGGTTTTCAGCAGGTGATGCTCCCCACCAATAAATGGAGCGGATTCTCTTAAAAAAAAAAAAAAAAAAAAAAAAAAAAAAAAAAAAAAAAAAAAAAAAAAAAAAAAAAAAAAAAAAAAAGCCTCCATTTGGACAGTCCCGGATAACTCTATCAAAGAATTGAACCGAAAAGCCAGGCTCTATCTATGGTCAGGAGACCCCAACAAAGAGAACAGCATATCTAAAGTCGCATGGCACTATGTCACGAGGAGCCCGCTAAAGGGAGGTCTAGGGATTATATACCCCGGAACAGAAACAAAATCCCTGCAGATTAAGTGGATCATCAAACTTCTGATGAACCCAGACAGCACATGGCATAAATTAGCCCTGGACAACATCAGATTACTACCCCTGGTGCCCCCACCAGAGGATATGTCAGGACTGTTTTGGGTAATGAATAAAGACTGGATCGTAGCCACGGACAGAAGGAATCGAACGAGGGACGCCAGACTAGAGGGCTATATGCCTGCTACTCCATACTGGACGGCGCTGCTTCGAATCTGGAGAAAAATAATCCCTAACAAGTGCAATGGACCTAGATCTAAGGATGAAGTACTAAGGCAACTGCTCTTCGGGAACCAATGGGTGACAAACAAGGGTGACAACCCCCTTTTCTAAGAACACAGATGGCTCTCCTGGGTCAAAAGCGGCATTTGGAAAATCGCTCACATATGGAATGAGGACAGGAAAGAATGAAAGACAGAACAGGAAATCCGTTCCCAACTGAAAGGATGCCACAGACGAGGACCCAATCTCCAGTACATTGTCAGCCTTATTCCACAGGAATGCAAAGATATCTTGACGGAAGCCGCTCCATGAAAACCTGGAGAATGGGGACTTAAGATTCAAGAAATGATCCCCTCGAGAGCCTTCCAATTTTCCCAAATGCAACGAGATTCACACACCAAGGTCACCTTCGTCTCCTTTCCAATCTCCACGACTGTTACTGGTATGCCGGCCATCCTGAACAGAGATGTTGAGTCGGTAGTCTTGGACTCCTTCCTACTTAGGAAGATAAGGGTCCTTGGCTCTTGTCCCAAGTCAATATTTAGACCTGACACAACAATCCACAACTTGGAATTTGACCCAGCTGAATGGGCATGGATGCCGGACAAGACTAAGAACATCAAATCCAAAATCCCAATTCATGAGTATACAGTTAAACTAGGATACAGACTGTCACTGCAAACCAAAGACCCCGACCATATCATTAAAAAAAAGATGGCACAATCTACTGGGCCAAGAGGCAGACAAGCTCATGCAGATCCAGTGGAAGAAGTTCAAGCTTATCAGGCCAATTAAAATCAGAAGCTTACAATGGCTAATCGCCTACGCAGCATTACCAGTGAACCAATGGCTASACACGAGGYRTAAGAGTTCAGATCCCAACAGCTYGRATTTGTGCATGGTYTGTAATGAAGGGACRGTAGAAGACATARTTCACTGCCTAATACATTGTAGGGAGGCGACAGACTACTGGGCAAGAGCCTCGGCACTCTGGGACTCYCTATTCCSAACCCCCTTCCCCGAACATCCCATCCAACTTCTCCTCTTGACTAACATCCCTCAACAGCTCCAGAAGGCAGAAAAGATCTGGTTTGGACTCATCAGAAAGGTAACATTATGGGTGAAGGAAAGATGCAGCAGAAGCTGCAGAACGATTGAAGGACTGTCCAACCCACGCGAGAAAGTTTGGGTGGAGACGAAAATCATGATACAAGTCGAAATCCTCTGCAGATGGAGGAAGACCAAACGGTCATGGACGGAGGACGAGGAACAACGAAAGAAGGAGAGATGGACCTTCAGCAAGAACTGGTTGATAAACGGCAAGATTGCGGAGTTACGAGAAGACCGTATTTGCTGGAAAGAGTGGCACAACTCAACCCCAGGAAGGATTCACCAGCAACAGACAACTGAGGGTGGACAAGAAATTCCATGATCAGACATCCAGGAGGGGTGGATAAGACGGAAGTAAGGGTGTCATAGAGCAGGATAGTAGTCGAGGGTTTAGGGATTAAGGGTTTAAGGGATTTTCAGAGAGGGTAGAGAAATTTCGGGCAGGGGACAGGGTGGCTCTCGGGTAAGGATGGATAAAAGCAAGTACAAGGGACAGACAAGACAACCGGGTTACCGGGCAAACTCTTTCTAGGAATATAGAACTATCTGACAGACCTAGCCACCAGGTCTGAGAGGAGAGAGGGTGTCATGGCAAGCTGACAGTCAATACTCCGTCAACTTCGGCGTCAAGACGGAGTAATCAATGCTGCTCACGGGTCCTTCGGCCAGACGGAAGGAAGCGTGAGTGTCTTAATTGTTGTGTGAAATTCCGACTTGCCGGTGGAACAGGAACCAGACTGACGCTCCCCAGAATAGAAGGAGCCAGCTCAGCCAGGACAGTGACAAAAAAAAAAAAAAAAAAAAAARATGTTTCATGTTGTGKCGRAAAAAAAAAAARAARRAAAAACATAATCTATTAAGGGCCCCGTGCCCAGGGCAAATATACAAGCTTAGTCTGACCAAGTGCAAAGAACTCTTCTAAGTGGGAAATATTCTTCCAACTTGGTGAGGAAAATTGTCATATTAGAAAATTTAAAATGAAAAAAAGTTAGAAAATTTAAAATGAGAAAAAGTTAAGGTTTATAAATTTTGAAGTTCAGGTCTGGGTGAGTGTAGCCTGTCCAGGAATTTTTCCGTGAGGAGGAAAGGCGTTGGGATGCATAATTCGCATAAGTTAATAATTTTATGTTTCTCCAATGTGTCTTTCTCTCTCCGCTTTGCTTTCTTTTTTTTTTTCTTTTTTTTTTTAACACTGACTCGTCATTCTCTAACATGTCTTTCTCTCTCTGCTTTTTTTCCTTTTTTCTTTTTTTTAACTCCGACTCGCCTTTCTCTGACGCTCCTTTTCAGACTTTTCTTGACTTGTAGTCTTGTGCCTCTGACATTTCTCTGACATTTCTCTGATATTTCGCTGACTTTTCTCTGACATGTCCAAGAGTAAACAAAACGGAAGGCAGCCGCCCTATCCGAAAATTTATGAATTAAAAACAAGAAGGGTGTTTTTTTTGTTTTGTTTTTTTGTCACTGGGCAGTAAAGAAAGCATCCCAGTCACCAGCATTAAAGCAGCCAGGCATAAAGCAACCCTTCCTTTTTTCCCCCCCCCAACCAAGCATTTTTTTCTCTCACTGAGATGCAAGGGGCAAATTAAGAAGTCTGCAAAGTGTAACCCCTCGTTAAAAATAGAAGGGGAAAAATCATCTCCATGATCATAATTGTAACGATAATGGCATCTCCAGCAAAGTCCTAACTAGGAAAAATGGAAGAATGAATCCTCTGGTCAGGGAAGAAAGCAGCTAGAGCAGCGTCTAGAAGAAGAAGAAGAAGAAGAAGAAGAAGAAGAAGAAGAAGAAGAAGAAGACAAACAGCAGAAGCAACAACGACGACAATAGAAGAACACGAGAAAAAGAACACGAGAAGAAGAAGAAGAAGAAGAAGAAGAAGAAGAAGAAGAAGAAGAAGAAGAAGAGGAGGAGGAGGAGGAGGAGGAGACAACAACAGAAGAAGAAGAAGAAGAAGAAGAAGAAGAAGAAGAAAAAGGAAAGCAGACCACGATCTGCACACCGTGCTGAGCCTGTGTGTGATGACTGACGAGGCTCAAGGCAGGAGATACTAATGGAGGTCAGTGGAGGACTTGTTGCCTCTCTTCTTTCACGTTCTCCGTTTATACCAACGCCATTTCTCTCTTCAAGTTGGTTGCCACCGAAGTCTCTGCCTCTGCTTCCTCGAATCCTCGGCTTTCGCCGACCCCATCTCTGAGTCAGTGATCTCACGTTACCATCATCTGCGAGCTTCGGCATTTCCCCTGGCAGTGCGTGCTGCAAGCTTCCCCAATCGCCCCTGGCAGCTACTACCCTAGTAACCCTACTACCGTCTTCCCCCGAACATAACGCACCCTAAAACTTCCCTTGCCTGCAGTGAATTCCATGCGAGCTTCAGCATTTCCCCCCCCCTCTGCTGCTGTGAGCTTCAGCATTTCCTTCTCCTTGTCTATTCCCCGCGCTCCCTTGTGATACCCAAGGCTATAGCCAAGACTATAGCCTCGGCTCCTCACTCCTACGACTCCACGGTCTCAATGGCATCTCCTCATCGTCTCCATCTCGCTCCCATCGTCAATTCCCTGCGCCATACACTGCACACACCCGCACTCGGACAAAAAAAAAACAAAAACAAAAAAACAAACAACAACTAGTAAACTACCACTCCCAGACCTCTGGGTCTTTTCTCCTCAGTTCAACCTTTGATTGGCTTTTGACCCCCTAAGGCTCTTCCATCTAAGAGTGTAAAGGCATACTACTCACACTAGCATTCTTTTTTGACTCCCCTTCGACGGTAATTACGGTCAGATGCACGCAGCAGAAACCACAATTTCGGTCCGATACATCCAGGAAAGTCCTAGTGCGAGTATTCTCTATCAATACATAATTAAGTCTTACAAGATATGTACCCACCCGATTGGCGGCAATCGGCCAGCTCTCCTTCATTTTTTATCATTATTATTTGATATGTATCATTATGATTATTAGAAAAAACAACAACTACCGTCTTCCCTCGATCACAACGCACCCTCATTTTGGCTGTATTTGGCCGGAAATATAGCTTGTATACATTCATTTTTAGCATGCGTTATGTTCGGGGGAAGACGGTAGGCAGCTCTCCTGGTAACAATCCTCCCCGCCCCCTACCCCCACGTACGACAAACGCATGAGTCAACTACACGTTGACCGTCTTCCGCCGAATAGAACGTACACGTCGTACGGTCATTATGGCCTGCATCTAGACTAAAAGGTTGCCCAAATGCAGCTGCAATGACCAAGGCTTCTATTCGATTGGAAGAGGAGCGTGTACTTAGATTTAACATCACTTACGACGTTCTGATCGGGACGTGACACGTGGGCAGTCGTGATCGAATCACAACGCCAGGGATCACTGAAGCCCCCGTATTCGACGAGCTAGGTGCAAGTCCTTCACCATCAACGTCACCCTTCTAGCATGGAGCGCACACAGGTAGGCATCGCCGAACAGCTGAACGAGGTAGTCTTCACACGCCTCCTGGATGGCTAGCAATCCTTCACCGGTCCATCGGAACACTTCCATCGTGATATTATTTGTAATGTCTCTCACAACACGAGCGAAGGGCAATTTACTAATTAACAAATCGGTGCTACGCTGATAATGACGGATCTCTTGCAGCGCAAGCATGCCAGGCTTGTACCTGGATCGTTTCTGGGTCTTACCGTTACCCTTGCCGTTGCCCTTGCCGTTACCGTTGTCGTTTCGTCGTCGCTTTTCCCCGCAACCGGTGCACTTGCCGTTACGCTTGCCGTTAGCGTGAGCCTTGGCGTGATAAGTCCTGCTAGAACCAATAGCTGTGCTTCTTCCAACTCCGACTGCAACTGCACCAGCCCCCTTATGTCCAAGAATCCGGCCAGATCCCTTCCCGCCGCCATGATCGCCATCTGCTCCTCTTCTCCCTCCAGAACCTCCTTCCTTAGACTTACCACGTCCCCATCTCCCTCTCTCTCTCCCACTCTCCTCACCGGCGGAGAGTCCTCCCGTCCGCTCTCCTGCCGATTTCCAAGAGCCTCCTCCTTCGCTGTCGCTGCTTCCAGAAACCTCCGCTCTCTGCCGGAATGCCCCTCCTCCCCTTCCTCGTCCTTTGCCTTTGCCTTTCCCTCTCCCCTTTCCCCCTCCTGCTCCCAATCTCCCACCTTCTCCTGCTCGCAATTTCGCTGCTCTTCCTCCTCCCAATCTCCCTCCCGTTCCACTCTCTCTTCCTTCCCCCTCCTTTGGTCTTCGATACTCCCTCCTCCCACTTTTCCCCTCCGCACGTTCCCTCCCCCCTCCCCGCCCGATTCCGCCGCTTCCTTCCGCGTTTCTGCTTCCACTTCCCCCCCCCGGATTCTCAACAGCACAACTCTCCTTCCTTTCTTCACTCCACTTTCTTTTCCCGCCACCACTACTAGTACCCTCTCCTCCGTTTCCGTTACCGTTACCGTTACCGATTCCGTTTCCGTTTCCGTTTCCGTTTCCATTGCCTCCATCGCGCACGTCTCCGGTCAACCTCCTCCCTCTCCTCACCGGTCCGCTCTTCCGATTCCTAGAAGACGACCCTGCAAAGGGTGCAATCCCGTTTTCCAGCTGGAACAGCGAGCTCGGCCTTCGGACAAGACCTCTCAAGGGAGACAATGCGTAGGGATGTGAATCTCCCTCCTCCTCCTCCTCCTCCTCCTCCTCCTCCTTCCCCCTTGCCTCCCACTCCTCCTCCCCCTTCTGCTTCTCTTCTCTCCCTTCCTCCTCGTTTACCTCACCCCCCTCTCCACCGTCCTCCGCGATCATCTCTTCATGTGCGCTCTTGCTGCGCCGCCCTCCCGACGACGGGCTGCCGCCCTCCAACTCTGCCATCGTTGAAGGTCACCCGCGGCGGCGCGGCAGGTGTCCGTCCCGGTCCCGATCCCGATATTGGCGTAGCGTGGCGGTTTCCCTTGGGTGCTCTCCCTGTCGGCCTGGCCTGATCTCGGGGCATCCGAGCGCGATCCCGACCCCGGCGCTGATCGCGATCCCGCAACGCGAGCCTTGGTCACTTCGGTGTGCTCCCCAGACTCATCCCTGGTTCAAACCCGATCCCGGTTCCGATACCGATCCCGACGTCGACGCCGATCCAGCACCGATTTTGAAAAGCTGAATGATTTCGCTCCGCTAGCATGCCGATCTCGACTTCCGCCAATGCCGATCCCGACGTCGTTGCCGTCCTCGCTGTCGTAGCGGATTGCCGTCCACGACGTTACCAGCCGACTCCCGCCGAGGTGAATCGCGATCCCGATGCATAGCCAGAGCGCGGTCCCGACGTCGAGATGCTGATCGCCATTCTCGCCGAGTCTCCACTCCGAACCTCGCGGACTCCGATGGCCTCCCTGTCGTCGATCCCATCAAGCGCATTATTATTATTATTATTATTATTATTATTATTATTATTATTATTATTATTATTATTATTATTATTTGTTCACATCCAGTGCAATTTCAGATCGTTAACTTCTTTTTTTTTTCTTGTCTTTTTTTTTTTTCATCAATCCCGTCGAGTGCGATTTCAGACCGTCAGCTTCATTACACTCATTGGAAGAAGAAGAAGAAGCAGACATTTACTTTTCACTTTTTAATTCAATTCGACCACTAATTAATTGCTCAATAATAATCACGGCTAGCAGATTTTTTTTTCTTTCTTTCTTTCCTTTTGGTTTCCATTAATTGTCAATTAGTAAGGACCAAATTCGACCAGGAATGGACGAAAAACAAAAAAGGGGGGGTGGGAGGGGTATAACCTCTCAAAATAATTTATTATTTTGTCCCCTCGAATGAGGATGCATGCACGGTCTCCCGGGCCATACACACTTGCACAATCATCTCTCGCGACGGGAGGAAA